CCACAATAATCTGAGTAGGCCTTACTCTTCCAGTGAATTTCACATTGTCTCCTTTTCCAAAAGGTATTTTCATCTCGTCTGGGCTGGACTCTGGTTTCCACCTTGGCATAAGCATCAGCACCAGCACTCGCGTTGGGGCTCGAACCAGGGTTGTGGTGCTACAATGTATATTATCTTGACATGTTACCACCACGGCACACTGTTACGAGTATCCCTGGGTCACAGGGCATACGCGATTGTCAAGGCAGTTTAGGCCTCGTCCATATCACATTTTTCGTCGCTTATGGTGACTTAAGGTTTGGTATTTGTGGGAAATCTGTTGAATAAACTCAGCTATTTGGCTGTAGATTGTACAAAACAAATTTTTCCCATAAACTGCATGTATTCAATCCTTCCACTTCACATGGACAAAATGCCGCATCGCTTGTGTTAAAAACCCTGTGGGAAGCCTGAGAGCTGTAATCAAGCCCTGTGCAGACGAGGCCTATAACTAAAAGACTGACCTAGCAACTGAGTAAATTGTCCAGTCTGAGAAGAACTGAGGAAGGGATGGCCAGAGTTGTCAAGGTGGCAGCGTCTTGGCGCAGGCATATAAAGCCTAAAGAGGATGCCAAGAGGTGTAAACTACGACCTCGAGGCGACTAGCTATACCCTCCAATCTACTCCTTCTCACTGGTTTCTAGGCGTGAAAAGCAGAAAGGAGGAAAATAGTGTTTCATTGTCTGTACTGTCAGATTTGTTTGACTACAACATTCCTTTTGTTGGTGACCATCTCATCAAATGTTTCTCTTTTAAGCAAACAAATATCTAGACTTACCAGCTTTGCCTCATTCAGTGACCTGATCGACAATAGAATTTCTGGGCCAGCTGAATTGATGAGAGTAACGGCCTCAGCATGCGACAGAATGCAAATATCTTCGTCATTGACCTAAAATTTGAGCGATACTGTTTAAGTTTAAGGCAAGGATGCACCAGAAAATGTGATTATAAACACAAACGAGATAATATTGAGGGAATAGTACTCGAAAGGGTGAAATATTAAAGGAATTTATTTGGAGACTACCTTCAGAATTTGATCGCCTTTGCTGATCAGGCTGCAGTTGCCGGCCGGACTGTTGGCGTACACTTTCTCAACAAATAGACCCATTATTTTACGGCCGCCGAGCCCCGTTCTGTTTGCTCGAATGCCACCTTTACGAAGGGCAAATAAGTGCATAAAACAGGCAAAAGGGTTTATCAAATTATTTTTTTATGAGAAAAATTACATAGTCTGCAATGATGCAAGTGGTATTTGTTCGATTTTGACCGTGGAAACTTGAAAAACACTTTTTATCATCAGCAAATTGCCATTTTCCTTCCCTCTATGAGCTGTGCGGCCTCCAGACTAGACAAAGTGTGAATGACCAAGAGAAAAATGTTTTGTCCAGTGTTCTAGACTATTCAATATTTGTTACGATAGTAATAGTGATAGTAGTTGTAATAGTTGCAGCAGCGGTAGTATGATTAATAATAGCAATATTAGTGGTACAAGGGATAATATTAAAAACATTATCTTTATTTATATTAATACTAGTTACTTTCGGGGTACCTGAGCATGTGAAATTAGTCACACAACTTTTGCATCCCTTCAATATCGCTTGGCACATGTAGTCTGGCTTCATGTTGGTGTCAAGGCAAACTGTTATTAGGGCACTCTGTCAGTAGTCATGGCAAATGCCAGAGTCAAAAAGGGGAGTCACACATTCTTAGGGTTGGAAATTGTCATCACTACTTAGTCCCTGGACTGCCGACAAGGTATGTTCATTGTGATTGCCCTGACAACAGGACTAAAATGCGAAAACGAG